ATTCTACAGAGTAAGCATGATTTAAAAGGTAGTCTTTTACCAGTCTAACAATATAAATAAGTATACACTGGAAAGGGTGATTTTTAATTCCTGTGGAATAAGCAGATGTGAATGAAACATTAAATGGGTAGGATTATACTTACAAATAAATCTAAACACTTTGCCTTCTTCACTAGGTTTTCATGATTCAAAGCCAGAACACTCTGTGCTTCTAAATTTGTTATTATAGAGGTAAAGGAAGATTTGAAAAATGAGAAAAAAATCTCAATGGCAGGATTCACAAACATACATTATGATTACATAGTCTCCAATTTTAAGTTTGGGGTTTTAAGGAAGCAAAAGCTGTAAAAATGAAGAGATGCCTGTCTCTAGAAGACTCATGACTTCATACTGACACCTAATGACAATGTTTTCTTGGGCACATGTTTGAGAGATTTTTGAGGTTTTCTTTATTTTTACTTTTATGTCAATTAGATTGGAGAATGAATCCAAAATAGACTGGAGTCTGCCTCACATACCACTAAGGTGGTATAAAAGGACCTACACAGGTTAAGGAACTCAGACCGCAGAAGCAGCTCCTCTGCCTCAACTAAAACTTCCACTCCTGACACCATGTGCTACTTTGGCAACTTCTATGGCCTGGGCTATGGCTACGGTGGTCTGGGATATGGCTGCGGCTGTGGCTATGGCTCTAGGTATGGTGGCTATGGATACACCTGCTACCGTCCATGTTGCTATGGAAGATACTGGTCTGGATACTTCTAAGAAATTCTGATTGGTGCTCACATTGGTTCATTTGCATATGCATCACTGTGAATATTAACAATTATCTCTCCAAATTTCTTCAGATATAATCATTGATTATGATGAATCATGCTTCTATTGATTGATGGAAATTGACAACACTTAGGGGAGTTACCCTTTGACATATTTTGTTATTGCCAAGTTTCTTGGCACATAACAATATTGATATAAGGAAATTTATAATTTTTTGTTTTCAATAAAACTAATCACTTTTCATTATGTACTGCTCATAATATGTAGTCATTTCTCATCATCATGTATTTTTAAATTTATTTTTTCATTTGTTTTTTTAGTGTGTGTTTGTGTGTTTATGGGGAGATCATTGTTCTTGTGGCTGTTTTAATAATGCAGCAAAATATACCAAGCATGATTAATGATTGCTTCTAATTATACCTCTGATATAGTGCTCCAACTCTATACATTGAATCTAACATAAATAGTATTACAGGATAAGTCAGTATTTGAGAAATATTTCTAAATAATATTTTCTAAAATGCTATTTTAGAAAAAGTCAAGGTTTCTTAGTCAGGCAACTGAGAAAAACAATTGTACTCCTGTTTATCACAGGTACTATATCATACTGAAGTTTCCTGTTTTAGTAGAGTATGATTCCACTCCTATATCATGTGTTCTGACTTCCTTTTCACTCATAGTTGAAAACTCTTTGTGAGCTGATTGATACATTTGGTAACTTATAGGCCCAATGGCAAAGATATCCTATTTTTAAATTTACTTATTTATTTTTATTATTAATTTTATTGAGAAACAAATAGCAACGAGACAGTTTCAAAACAAGTTAGCAGGATAGTTTCACTAATTAAAATATTGTGTATTGTTGCCTTTGTAGTAGTTATTCATAGTACAAGATGCAGGCATGGTATCCTGTCCAAACACTAGTAGAAAAATTCTTTCTTCTCATTGAATTAAGAGAAAGTAGCTGTATATCTATCCTAACTATTTTGTATATACAAATACAAAATAGTCCTTCATGTATATCCCATTTTTTGTTTAGCTTTGTCAAAGATAGACATTCCATTGCCATTTAAATATTGTAGGTGTGTGAATTCAGCAACATATTCCCAATCTGTCTCAGGGAGTCTTTTGAGTGTGTATGATATTGGTTGAGTTTTGGAGAATCGTTGTTACCATTTCTAAGAGGCAGTGTCTTTTGGTAGAAAGAGTATACAAAACACATTTGACCTCGATGTATATATTTGCTCCCAAATCATGAAAATATTGTGTCAATTTTATAAGGAGTCTCCATTCAATGAAACTCCCTATAATTATTTCTTGTATTTGTTCCATCAACTTATTAATAGTTAGTTGTTAAAAGTATCAAGACATGTCACAATAAACAATAGAGAAATCTTAGTCTGATATTTCCTATTCCCCATCTCTTGAATGTAGCAGACATAAAAATGATGAAAAATCCACACAGAGATTACACATTATACATTAATAGGAGAGACTTACCAATATTACCTTTTTCTAAAACTTTATTCATACATAGTATTTGCATAATATAATGATTACAATCAATGTGCAGAGCATGTGCACAGCACATTTTATTTCTGTTTATGTCCTCTTCCCTCAGTCCCTCTTTTAGTCCTCTGCCCATTTTCAAACCATTTATCCCTCTATTTTCTATTATATATCATTGATTTTGTTCTTCATTTATGATTTGGTTGTCTCATATAAGGGAAGCTATGCAATATTTAACCTTGTGTATTAGACTCATTTCATTCAACATATGGTCTCAAAGTAATACATTGCCCCACAAATGCATAAAACATATCCTGCTTTATAGAAGAATATTCTATTTTGTATAAGTATCATATTTGCTTTATCTATTTGTCTGATTAACATATAGTATGCTTCTAAGATTAAGCTGTTTTGAATGTGCTTCTATACATATGGGAATTTATGTATCACCCTAATATCTTTTACTATTTCAGGAAGATATTTAGAAGGGGAATATTTGGAATTAACAAAATCTCCATACTGAGCTTTAATGACTGGAGTAACTTACGTCCCACCAACAAGATGGAAGGATTCCATTTTCCTTAAAGCCTCCCAAGTAGCTTTGATTTCTTGATGATAATCCTTTCTGGAGTAAGATATAATCTTAGTATTATTCTCATTTGTGTTTCCTAAGTGGCTATTAATGGTGAACATTTTAAATTATGTTATTGGACATTTTTACTTCTTCTGAGAAGTGATTATTCCATTCGCATGTCCAGTTTTTAGTTGGGTCTTTTAATTTAAGGATCTGTTTTGGGGTTCTTAATATATTGTAGATATTAGTCTTCTATTCAAGGTGCAGTGGACAAGAAAGATTGCTTTCCCAGTCTGTAAGTTATCCCTTCAATCTTTAGTTGCTTCATTTAAAGGGCAGAATATTTTCAATTTGACATACCCTCAGTTTTTCATTGTTGATACTATTTTGTGTGCAGTTGAGGTACAGTTTGGAAAGTCCTAGCTTCAGTCTAAGAATTCAAGAGCTTTACCTGGTTTATCTTCCTGCACACTAAGTGTACGTGTTTTAATACTAAGAACCTTAAACAATTTTGAATTCAGTTTAGAGCATGGGTCTGTCTTCAGTCTTCTATATGTATGTAGACAATTTTACAGCACATATATTTTTGGTGTCTTTGTTAAATATCAAGTGGCTAAATGAGTCTGGGCTTGTATCTATGGCTTCCATTCTGTCACAGTGACCCATACCTTTTGTGCCCTGGTACTGACACACAAGCAAACAAAATGTTATGTTTATATCACCATAATAGAACTTAAAGACCTGGGTCTTGATGCCTTCTGTTTTGCTCCTGCCACACTGGACAGCTATTGCTATTGTGCCATCTCCCACTCTTCCATGAGAATTTTAGAACTGCTCTCTCTTTTTCTGAAAGGAATGCCATTGCAATGTGTTCCTTTTCAATTTTTTTTTCTTTTTTGGTACTGGGGATTGAACTCAAGACCCTGCACTTGCTAGGCAAGCACTTAGTCTACTGAGCTATCTTCCCAGTCCTCATTCCTTTTCCTGATGTCTTCTTTCATCTCTTTTTCAGAGTAGTATAGTTTTTATTACAATAGCCTTTTAGTTCCATTTATAAGTTGATTTCTTGGTGTTTAGTTTTTCTTGAAGACATTCTAAGTGGCCTTGCTTTACTAATTTGTTTCTCAACTAATTTTTTATTGTTGTGCTGTAGATTTTTTTTGTTGATTTAGCCTTCTGCAGCTTTACTGAATTTACTAGCTCTACGAACCTTTTGGTATAATTATTTGAGTTTCAAATATATGTACCACATTTTCTTTTATTTTTCCTGTCTAATCCACCAATCTTTTTCTTTTAAGGAGAATACAAAAATAATTAAAAATAAATAATGAACAAAGTGATGGAAATTCAACAATGGTTTTACATTGCATATTATTATCTTCAAATTAGTTGTTCAGATTACCAGATATAAGCATGGAAAATAAGTGGGAAAAATTATGAAAAAATTAAAATGAGAGAAAAAATTTAAGCATCAACTGCTCTTTTCAATAGACCAGCAGAAATCAGTGGTACAATTATCCAAGCTAACCTGTGTGCATACATACGTATTTCTTTCTCCTTTCCTTCTTTCTTTATTTTCCCATTTTCCTCACCCTGGTTATTTCTTCTCTTTGAGCAGATTCTTTCCCTCTCACAGTATCTATTGCTCCTTTCATATTTTATTTACTCTTTCAGGTTCTTACTCTAGTGAGACAAAATGTTGTTTTCACATGTGGGTATGATTTCTTTCACTTATGAATATTGTCTCTAGTTGTATAAATTTACCATAAAAACCTCAAGTTTATATTTTTATAGCTGAGCAGTATTCCATTGTGCAAAATACAACATCTTTTTCATCCATTTATCAGTTCATGGGTATTTGGGTTGTTTTCAAGTATTAGCTATGACAAATTGAACTGCTTGTAACGTGGGTGCACATATATCGCTGTGGTATGATGTTTTCAGTTCTTTTGGAAAAATACACAAGAGGCAAAAAGCTGGGTTAAATGGAACCTCCAGTCCTAGATTTTTGAGCAATTACACACTGATTTCCACACTTTCGCTACTTTTTTTTGGTCACATCTTCCTTTGATGAGCATCTAAGGTGATACCTTATCATAGCTATTATAGTGCAGCAATAAACAAGGGCATACATTTGTATTATTCTTATACTGATATATTTACTTTTTATGTATGCCCAGAACACAGTATTGTTGCATCATATGTAGTTCTAAGTTTAAGATTTTTGAGAAAAATTCATACTGACTTTGCTCATTACTGTATTAATTGACATTCTCATAAAAGTGCACAAGAATCCCTTTTTAGTGCATCTTAGACACTTTATGTTATTTGGTTTTTACATTTTATAGTAGTCATTGTTTTTCCTGTGGTAAGAGACATCTCATTGTGGGTTTTACTTCCAAATTTTTGGGCAGCTAACAAAGTTGGCATTTGAAATTCTTTTCAAAAGTGCCTATTCATATGTTTGTGTCTTTTTTAGGTGTGTGTGTGTGTGTGTGTGTGTGTGTGTGTGTCTGTACATACACCAGCATCATGATTGCTTTTCTCATTATATCAGTGTATAAAGATGTATTAATAGGGCCATGGAGATAACTCAGTGGTCTAAGTGCCTGCCTGGCATGCTCGAGGACCCAAGTTCCATTCCCAGTACTGCATCCCATGCCAGGTTCATGCAAAGCCGGCCACTGAAACTGGGCTTGGTAGCACATACCTGTAATCTCAGTGCTGGAGAGGCTGAGACAGGAGGATCACTGGGAGTCCAAGATGCATAGTGAGACCCTGAGCAAAATAAATAAATAAATCTTTAATAACAAATTCTACTAATATTTATATTTTGATTTTGTATATTGCAGTTGTACTGATTCACTTATTATTTCTAGTATTCTCTTAGTGAATTATGATTTTT